AAAAAAAAAAAAAAAAAGGAAAGTGTGCTACAACCGCCCTTTTCAAACTCGGGGCCTGATGTTACCGCCTTCTGATGTTATGACTGCCTTTTCGAACGACGGCCATTTTTTCGTTGCCCATTATTGTTTTTTTTGCCCTTTTGAACTTCGTTTGTGACAACAACGTACTTGCCCCCCCCAAAAAAGTGGAACATCCAATGTACGAGGTGCAGATGGCCTTGGCCCCCTCTGGGCATTTGAAAAGAGGTCAGTAGTCATTCATAGTTTTTCAACCTCTTTTTAATTCTCTTGAATTTCTTCAATAGTTCTCAATAGTTCTCAGATTGATTCTCAGCTGAAGCCGGGTAATGGCCCCGGTATCTCAAATGACTTGTGTAACTCTATATGGGACGCTGGGCCCGGTTCCCAGCACGTGTTGCTCCCCACGAATAGACTGGAGCATTTGTCCCAAAAAAAAAAACAGAGGTGCAGATGGCCTTTTGAAACAACTGTTCATCTATGATTGTGTCTCTCTTTGTGGGTCTGGGACTGGTCGAGGACACACTGGGACTGAAAGAGTGGCCCTGCCTTCCCTTGGGACGATCGCTGGATCCATCTTGATTGGAGGTGTCCCGGAAGGTGCAGGCAGTCCACGCAAGCCTGTTCTGGGTAATCTGGGACACCAAAAACAAATCGGTGTTGGGAGGGAGATTCCTCACAGATCACTCAATCAAATCCAGTTTCAACAATCATCTCAGCTGTGGAGTTCGTGGGGACTGGAGGCAGAAGGTCACACAAAAGTCTCATCTCGGTGAGAGGGCCGCTTGCATCTTGTGGTTCTCAGAGACATGGGCCATCGAGGGCAAACATTCCAAGGTTGAGAATGGGCAATTGGTCCTGGATCAGTGGCTGTTTGAAGAAGATGCATAACCTGGGGGCTGGTTTTTCTCCACAGTAGGAGGGCAGTAGAATGTTGGGCTGCGGGGTTTGTAACGGAACTTGCTCCTACCAACCCCGCTAGCAGGTCCCCTCGTGCCCAAGATGGTCAAAAAAAAAAAAAAAAAAAAAAAAGTAGTGCCATTTTTTTTTTTTATTATTTTTTCCTGACCGGAGCTGTGCAGGTTCCGTCCTCCAGACAGTAGTGAGGCGTTAAATTAGGATGTGAGATTAGCAGAACTAGAAAGCGCCCTCTGTCGGGTTTCAGTGGGTATTCATTCATTTTTGTAGGACTTGGGTGATTCAGTAGACCTTTGTTAAGATAGGTTGGTAGTTCTTTTCAAATTGTCTTTAGTGTTCTCAGCCGAAGCCGGGTAATGGGCTCGGTATCTCATGTTCTCCATACTTTTATGAGAGACGCTGGGCCCACCTGCTGGAAATCGGGTCCAGCGTCCCTATTTGCAATGTGGGAAATGGATATGTCACAGATTGTCGACCATTGTTTGAGACCTTACTATTTGTGTATTTTGTGGTGTTGTGTCCTTGTAGCTTATACTGTACATGTGGAGTTGCTTTCACAATAATGTGAGAACTGTGAGTGTATTGGTGGTGTTGTGGTGTTGTGTCCTTGTAGCTTATACTGTACATGTGGGGTTGCTTTCACTATAATGTGAAAACTGTGAGAGGAATTTGTGCTGTTGTTGTTGTAATCCTTGGGCTGTGGGCTGTCGTCATCTGTGGACGTGGTCTTGCTCCCTCTTATCCCATGGAGCTGCTGAAAACCCAACCCAGTCTTAGAAGCCTCTAACCATTCACCCAGCCCAATTCGGCAGCTCCCCTGTAACATGCTTGTATCATGCCTGACCCGTTTGAACCCTGTTAAACCCTATACCCTCTTCCCCTTAAACCCTCTTATCATTTCTAATCTCGGATTCTCTGCCTAGCCACCCCCCCTTCTTTCCTCCCTGTGCCCTTGCTCTTCCCCTCTTCACGAAGCGTTGCCGAGGCCACTCCATTGTGAACCTTTCGTCACCCCTTGTATGGGTTCCATTGGACACCCTGTCTGTTAGACTGCATTCCTGTGAACAGCTTGGTTTGGGAGTCC